GTTCAAATTAATTTCTTACATAAATTAAAAACCAATAATATTTTTTTTCAAAATAAAATAAAAATTTTAATCAACCTCTTCTACTGCCTTTTCTCTTAGCCTTTCAGACATCCTTAATGCCTTAATTTCCGCTTGTGCTTCTCCCAATTCTCTATCTTTATCTGTAATCCAATCACAAAAATATATATAGAATAAAATAAAATAAAAACAATTAACTGTAAACTAAAAAGCAGGTAAATTGGACCGAATCAAGGCAAAAAACAACTAGATCGAGCCACATTCCTCACCTCTAACTTCATTCTCCAACCGATTAAGCTCTACTTTCACCGGATCCGACCCGTGAAGCAACGTAATGAACTCATTATCCGCATCGAAGCTAGTTCTAACAGCTCTCCTCCTCGACGAACCTTTCCCTCCACTCTCCTTAAACGACGCCGACACGGTCAACGGCGGAGGTACTCCCGCCGTGGTCGACGTCAGCCTCACCGGCGACTCACTCCTCGCATTGCTTCCTATCTCCGCCGCTTCACAGTCAATCTCCGCCATCTCCGATCCAAACACTTCCTCTCACCACTTCAAGCACCAAATGCAACCAGCACCAAAAAAAAAAAAAAAAAAACTCTTTGCAGAGAGAGAAGTTTGCTTCACATCTAAAACTTGAAGTGGATCCAAATGCTAGAGTTTCAAAATCAGTTGAAATACAGCTGTTAAACAGATTTTCGGATACAGAAAAGAAAAAAAAAAAAAAAAAGAGGGAGTGAAGATGAGGGAGTTTGAGCTGAGAGAGAATAATATTACTTTGTTTTTATTTTGCTCTCTCTAGTTGTGAATTTAAATCTGTTTACTGTGACAGTGAGAAGAGAGAGAAAGAAAGAGTGATTAATGATGGAGATTTAATTACTTAATTAATTAATCATGATTAATCTTAAAATTAATATTCTATATATTCTGTAAAATTTCAAATACATAATAAGATTAAGAAAATCTCATATATTTTATTTTTAATATATTTTAAAGAACATGTATTATTTTTTTAACTCTGAAATTAAAATTTTATAATTAATAATATATCAAATAATATCTTTTAATTTTAACGGTGTTGGAGAAATTATACATTAGTGTGTTTAGAGAAGTGAAAGGCTTTGCTATTGCCGCAGACAAAAAAGCGTGCGAGGCGAGCCGGGGATTGTAATTACGGTTTAGGATAAGCGAGGAGCGCAATGCGCGTAGGGGTTGCTAAAACGGGTGAAGTTGCTCGTTTTGGAATTTTTTTCTTTCTTGCGTGTATGTTTTCTTTTTATTGAGCTAATAATAGAAATTTGGATATAACGCTGTGAACAAAGAATATATGTATTTACTATTAAATTAAATATTCGAAAACAATGAACGACGTTGCTATAAAAACTTTATATAAAAAATATATATAATTACTTATTTTCATAAAAATATTTACTTTATAAATTTGACAAATTCGAGATTTAATTTAATTTATTCATTCAATCATGTTTTAAAAATATAAATTACAATATTTGTAATTGTTTACCTTTGTAAAACAAAAAATTACCTTTCTAGTACCACTTATGCCAAACCAAAAAATTATTTATGTGACATTTCTTTAATATTGAAAAGGCTTGGCAAAAACAAATGTTAATGAACAAAGACCTTCTCTGTCTCATAAAATGATTAGCCAATAAATGGCATGTCTTCAGTTTCTATGTCACATGATACATGAATTAATTAAATACAGCTTAATAACAACCGTTAACAAATGCTTTAATGAAGTTTGAAACTTTTATATATACATTTTTTTTTCTGCTCAACAAATTATGATTTTGATGGGCTTTGAGCCTCCACTACTTTCATGGGGCCCTTCTCAAGTCAAAATCCTTAGATTTTTTTTATTTTTCTTTCAAATACTAATCTAATATCCATTGGTGCCATGGCATTTTTTGTTTTTGTTCAAAATCATATGCAAATAGTTAAATTTCAAATCTTTCTTCTCTAAGTCAAAGAATTTCAACAAATTTGATGGAAATATTTGGTATGATGACAGTATGGGAAGGGTGAAACTTAGTTTTTGGGAAGAATTTTTTTTATACAAGGCATAACCTAAATTTAAATTAAATTATTTATTCAAATCTCGTCTCCTCTTTATCATTTAAATGGTTCAAAGGTTTTTTATTTTAATAAAAAAATGTAGCTTATATGGAATATTATAAGATGATTTATACACAGTCATATTTTTTTTTCAATCTTGGCCATATTTATAATTAGTTCTTCTTATGAAATAAAATTTGATTAAATAAAAAAAAGGTGACATTTTGAAATTAATAATATTAATTTAAATGTAAGATCCATATTTTCATTTGTTGAAAAAGGAAAAACTAACATTTTTATCATTATGTTTTATTATGTAAATTCATTTACGATAAATTATTTAATATATCAATAGTAAAATTTTTTAACTCTAAAAATAAAATTTAGATGTAATGCAATATTATTTTTTAAAATATGTAAAAAACATGTATCATCATTTTAATCCTATTTGTGAAATTAAAAAATTTTACTATTAGTGTATTGGATAATTTATCTTCATTTATTAAGTTGATATTTCTTTAACTTGTGACATAATTAATCATTAAGAATGAAAAACGATCTAGCCGTGTTAAAGGATTGTACTAATTTGTAATTATTTTTTACATTTAAAGTTATCAAAATTGAATCAATTTTGATAATAAAAATTAAAAATTAAGCAATCTTATCAATAAATCACGTAAGGCTATTAATATACAATTGGTTCCTTAAAAGTTTCATTAATTATGCATGTAAAATATTTCCCATAATTTAGGGAAGGACTAAAAAAGAAACACTAGACAGTGACCCCATGAACATGAGTATTGTCTATTTCTTACTGATAAATATATAATGTCTAGTATAGTACTACCCCCCTTTGTTCTTACATGCGCAATTTCCGGGCAAAATATGCAAGAAAATCAATTTCTCTGACGGGTGGTAGAATTTGGACCCAGCCAAGGGTACCCCTGCCCTTAGGACTATACTCAAATCATTCCAATTTTGTGCACTTCTTAGATGAAAAAGGAGCGGACAATATAAAGAAACAGAAAAGAAATGGAAGCAAAGGCTGCAGTCTTAGCATTTTGGAAAACTTTGCTATCCCCTTCACGAATCAATCTTGCAGTGGTGAGTGTTCATTTGATAGCGAAATCAGAGGAGTTTTTGTCGTATTATAATTAATTACGTTTTATGATTAAATATTGAGCTTGAGTAAAAAAAAAATTGTTAATGGTTATTAATATTTATAAAAAATTGTAATTAATGTATTATATATTAATAGGTTTTTTTTGTTTGCTTATACAAAATAATAGAATTTGTTTTTTTAAATAATATCAGTTAACTTAAGAAATATCTATAAAATAAGTATCCATTAAATGGACCCATTGTGTATTATGCTATTTTATTCGATAATTAAATAATTCAACTAGGGGTAAATGGCATGAAAATAATGATTAATAAAAATTGTAAATTTTTTAATGAATTATTAGATTATCTAATGCTTTTATAACTTTTATAATATTAATACGGTGTGTTTGGCCCTGTCAACAACCTTAGCTGTGCCAATTTTGCTGTTTCGAAATCAAAGCATCCTTGAATCCTTCCGATAAGCACAGAGACATATATACGTTTCCTGCTTGGGATTCAACCAGCACTGTGATGCTGACACTATACCAACTAGGGATGGCAAACGGGTCAGCGTAAAGCGAATTTTAGCTTATTTTGAATCTCATTTGATTTATATTTATAATATCTTAATCGATTTATTTGAATTATTTTATATTCAAATCGACTCAACTGATTTGATATTATATAAAATTATATTAATTTAATTTTAATTAAAATTAATAAATATTATTTTTAATTTAATTATATATATAATTTTATTTAAAATATAAATTTAAGAATAAAATTTTATATATCACGTCTTTTTTTTTTACTCAATCCTAACTTAAATTTAATTGTTAACGTATAAGTGAAAAATTTTAATTTAAATATAAAATTATAAAAATTTAAAATTTTACAAATATGATAATATTATTTAATAAAAACAATCATTTTTATCATCTTTAAGACATTATTGCTTTATTTGCTTTTATGAAATGACTGTAATTTTTATAATCCACCAATTTATTAACTTTTTTTTAATACTATTATTCATCTTATATTTGGAAAGTTGTAGAACCGTTTTGAATAATGTAGTTTTTTTTTATGGAATTTTTATATGAACTTAAATATTTTATATAGGTGATATATTCTAAAAAGTAAAATATAATCAATTTATTTCATTTAAAATGAAAAATTTGTCTATTTGTATGTATATTTTATTTATATGAAATTTTTATTCTTAGTGAAAGTTTGTTAATTAAATCATGATCAAATATCAATGCATTACACAAGTTTAAAATTAATTTAAAATAATATTTAAAAATTTTTACATTTAATACATCACTTTCTTTAAATTTAAAAAAATAATTACATTTTTTCTTACACTAGTTAACATTTTCCAAAAAAAAAAAAGTAGGAAACTTTTGTGATATGAAATATAGAAAATAAAGGATTAATGTATGATTTAATCTTTAAATTATATCAATTTTTATGATTCAATACTTATAAAAGATTTATTATTTGGTATACAAAATTTATTTTGAACAAATATTTTACCGCACATATTAATTATGTTGATAATAAGATGATGTGATTAAAAAATAATTTATCATAGCACTTGATATATTTTTTATTGATTAATATTTTTCACGTAAATATTTTGACTGATTTTGTTAATCAATGTTATAAAATGCTTGATAAAAATAAATTTTAAATATTTAATTATGAATTTTTATAAATATCAAATCAAGAAAAATAATATAATTCAAGGAAAATTTACTAACGATCAAAAAAAATAAAATATAGAAGGAGACAGGTAAATTTAATACATTAAAATATTCATTTTTAGGGAAACGACATCGTGTACCTCTTCTCCCTCCTCCCCAGTTCGCCTCTACTCATAGGGTTTAAGATTTATGCTTTCTCTTCCCGGCTTTAAGAGCCAAACAAACAAACATCCCCAGCTAAGCTACATCCCATGAATGATAAAAAACAGTTTCAAATTCTTCTCTCAGCTGAAGAAGAAGAAGAAAGCCTCGAATAATCTCCCAAACCCCATTTCTTACAAAAGTCTCTCAGACTCAAACTTTGATTCTGTCCTCGAATTCTTCTCATTCGAGGAAAACTTCAGAGTACCCGAACCCCTTTTCCTTCAACAAGCTTCTCCACAAGCTCACATCTTCCGACCGTGCCGATCGCTCTTTAAGCTACTGTCTTTCTTTCTCTCCAAAGGGTACACCCCTCACCCTTCTTCTTTCAATTCAAGCATCTCCTTTTTATATAAGTTGGGACTTTCTGATTATGCTCAAAAGCTTGTAAATTTCATGCCTTTGTATGGGTGTGAGCCTGATATTGCAACTTATAATTCTTTGATTGATGGGTATTTTAAATGTGGCGATGTAGTTAAGGCTTGTCTGGTTTTGGATGAAATTAGGGTAGGTAAATGTAAGCCTGATTTGGTTACTTTTATTGTGTTGTTTAATGGGTTTTCTAAGATGGGGAGGAAGAAAAAGGTTTTTGTTTATATGGATTTGATGTGGAAATGCTGTTTGCCAAACGTGGTTACATATAGTACGTGGATCGATATGTTCTGCAAATTAGGGGATTTGAAGACGGGGTTTAAGGTGTTTGGGGACATGAAGAAAGACAGGGTGTTGAATTCCATTGTGTTTACTTGTTTGATTGATAGGTGTTGTAAGGTTGGGGATTTTGAGGTCGCGTTTGAATTGTATAGGGAAATGAAATGGGCTAATATTGCAGTGAATGTGGTTTCTTATACCGCACTCATTGATGATCTTTGCAAGAAGGGAATGCTGGAAAGGGCTGAGTGCTTCATTGATGATCTTTGCAAGAAGGGAATGCTGGAAAGGGCTGAGTGCTTGTTTTCGAGAATGTTGAAGGATAAGGTTAAGCCTAATTCTGTTGTTTATACTTCTATCATTGATGGGCGTTTCAAAAAGCAATGTCAGTGATTCCCTGAAATATTTGGGTAAGATGTGTTCTCAAGGGATCAAGTTTGATGTGGCAGCATATGGGGTAATCATAGCTGGCCTTTCTAATAGTGGTAGGTTTGACAAAGCATCAAAATTTGTTGGATTGCAGCCTTATAAGTTGTTGTTAACCATAATAATGGATGCGCATTTCAGGGCTGGGAGTGAAAGCAGCATTGGATGTGTATGTGGAATTATTGGCACGTGGTTTTGACCCAGATGTTGTAGTTCTTTCAAGCTTAATGGATGGCCTATGCAAGCATGGTTGTCTACACGAAGCTGAAAGTTATTTTTGCACAGAAAAGGCTAATGAACTATCTTATACTGTGCTTATTGATGGGTTGGCTAAGAAAGGGGATTTCACTGACCTTAATAGGGTTTTTAAGCAGATATTGGAGCAGGGTTCACTCCAGACAAATATGTATATACTTCTTGGATTGCCGGTTTTTGTCAGCAAGGAAATTTGAGGCCTTTAGACTATCGAATGGTTCAAGAGGGTTTTCAACCTGACCTATTAACTTATGGCTCTCTTATTTTTGGTTTAGCAAATAAGGGTTTAATGATTGAAGCAAAGCAAATACTTGAGGACATGTTGAAAAGGACAATTACTGCTGATGCTGCAGTTTATGATATTATGATCAGGGGGTATCTACAGCAGAATAATGAAGCTGCCATTGCTGATTTGCTTGAGGAAATGAGAAAGAGAGGTTTTTCAACTGCAACATGCAAAGTAGGTAGAGAACGTGAATTCTAATAACATACAAAGCCTTCGATTTTATGACTTGGATCTGAGCTTGTCTAACCATTATTCGAAATTAAAAAGGAAAAAGAACCCCTCCTATTGGGATCGCTTATGATACAATTAAACTTGAGATGCCTTCATCATCAGACTCAATACCCCAGTTTCACCTGGATTCTGCCCAGCAGAGATTATAATCCATGCGCTTGAAATATATAGAATTCATTTGGGATTGCAACTGGATGGACAGATAAGTGCCTTGCTGGCTTATGCGACACTGATGAGCAAAAAGGTGATTAGTCTGATATTTTGTGTCATGGAATGGTACACCCTTTAGTAGTCACCTGATGTTCCAATTTTGGGGGTTTTTAGTGGATCTTAGCTTGCAGAAGTACATGCCACCATCCTGTCTTGATGTTTCAGTTCTGAAACACGACTGGAGAAGGAACAGAAGATACATGCCTTTGGAAATCATCATGTATGATGGGAAAAAAATATTGGTAATAGTTTTTTTTTTTTTTTAATTTAATTTAAGTTATTAATTTGCAATTGTAGATCTATTGATTCTCTCTCGTCTTGCTAATTATCTTGCTTCTTAAATATTGGCAGATATGTTCTAAACTCAAAACTGCATTAAATGTTTGGCAGCTTAAATCTAGTAATTGAGAATTACTAGCAGACATACTTCCATCTGGTGAGCACATGCTGTTGATGTGGCTTACTTGAACTTTCATGTCGGTCTTCTTGCTGGAGTTTTTATGATTACAGAAGAGGTCCCTCACAATAATTATATTGGTCTGCACCAGCAAAGTCATTGTACACTCTTTCTTCTTTTAAATTTCTGGTGGAGGATATCATTCATTATTTTCCTAATATCTATTGGTTTGTTCACCTCAATTTCATGTCTTGACACCTTAAGAGAATTGGAAAAAGAAAACAAAGAGTATTTCTTGTCAAATAATTATGGACATGTTTACAATCCTTGTTGACACTTTTACTGAATTTAATACCTACTTCTGGCCTACAAGAAGGCATCATCAGGCATTAGTAACCCAATGCCATTTTGACTGGTGTAATAATATTAGTTTTAAGTGTTTAAATAAATCATAAAGGTGGTAATTGCTTTTCTTCACCTCCACAGGTTTAGAAGTATAATTGATCGAGTTTAAATCGATACAGTTTGATTCAAAATTTAAAACTCAACTCGAATTCGATCAAGTTTTATTTTTTTAATTTGAGTTCAATTTGAGATAAAAATTAAGCTATTTGAATTTGTTTGATTATGTTCGATTAATATATAAAAATAAATTTGGTTTTTATATTTGATAAAAGTTTAATTATTTGTATTCGATCTTGAGTTTGAAATATTTTATTAATTAAAATAATAAAAATAATAAAAATATATTTAAATATAAAAATTGATTAAATTTGTGAACTATTAGAATCGAGTATAATAATGTTTGAATTCGGTTTAATCAATAAATTGAATTATTTAAATTCGAGTTTGATTTAATAATAATCGAATTGAATTTAAATTTTAATCGAATCAAATTTGAATAATTTACATATATAAATATATAATTGAAATCCTTGCATAGGTCGACTTTTGCAATACTTGAGCAATGAAGCATATTGAGCTGCGTTTGTGGCAATCGCCAAAATTAATAATTTTTTAGTACAAATAAAGTTATATTTAAAATTTAAATTTATTGAATGTCAATAGAATGAATCAACATCAACTGGATTATTGAGCTGCATTTGATTATTTATTTGACCGTCAAATTTTATGACTTACTTTCGCAATCAAGTCTTTTGAGCTGCATTTGATCGCAAAGGTTAAATTTGATACCCTGCGCGATATAAAGTAAGAAATTTTTTATTGCGGTACATTTGTTTTCAATTGCAAAAGCAGACAAGGAACTGCGATTACGATTGCTTTCAATTTGACAGTTTTGTTGATTAATTAATAGGGTTTAATAAAAAGATTAAAATTAACAAAATTTGATTAATAATATTTGAACAATGAAAATTTTCAAATTTTATAAATTCGATTTATGTCCAAAATATATTAATTTTTATTTAATTATTTTTCATAAAAATTTTCACAATCTTCACCTGAATAAACCTTACTTAAATCTTCAGCTATATCAGTATTTGGTAAGTGGTAACCCTATCAGAGAAAAGCGCGCCAACCAAGTGGCTCCGAAGTCTTTGAATTCGAAACACAGCTCCCAATCATGGCCATTGACAGCCTCGTCCTCGGTAACTAGCTACTAAAAACCATCCACCCTTTCTGTCATTTCATGAAGTCTCTTGAAAGGGTTTTGTTTTTGACAGACAAAATGGACGTATTTTATATTCAGGGGCAGGCCAAGAAGTTGGGAAAAGCTGCGTGGTGGTGTCAATAAACGGCAAGAGAATCATGTTCGACTGCGGGATGCACATGGGTTACACGGATTCTCGTCGATACCCAGATTTCTCTCTCATTTCAAATACTGGAGATTTCGATAATGCTCTTACTTGTGTCGTCGTTACTCACTTGTATTCGTTCCTTCACTCACTCGTATATTGCTTTTCTTTTGTTTCTTTTAGTTGATAACTTACTGATTGGTTGATTTTTTTTTTCTTTGATGAACTGTTTTTGCAGTCATTTGGATCACATTGGAGCGCTTCCCTACTTCACTGAAGTTTGCGGTTACAAGGGTCCCATTTACATGACTGTAACTTCTCTCCCTTTATGTGTTTGATAAAATGACCCACTTGGGTTATTATATTTTGATTTTTTCTTATTGATGTTTCTTGTATTGACAGTATCCGACAAAAGCATTGGCTCCTTTGATGTTAGAGGATTACAGAAAGAATATGGATAGAAGGGGTGAGGACGAACAATTTACTTCTGATCATATCACAGAATGCATGAAAAAAGGTACTCAAATGTCCATTTCTCTTGCTCATTTTGTGAAGATATTTAGTATTTAAAAAGTTTGTTATGAGTAGTTTTATGTGCATATGCTGGGTTGGCTTGTCTTTGTGGTCCATCAGGTAGCAATTCAGAGACTGTCCTAATAGTCTAGGAGTACCATTGCCCCTGCAATTCGTTTTAAAAATTGTGTCATTAGCAGTAAAAAGAATCATTTGCTCGACCCTGCTATTTTTTGAATATGGTTCTGTCTAAATATTTCTTATGATCTAAATTGGATATGGAGCCCCAATCAAGATTTTATGCTCTCCAATCTTCTCAGCAATCATTTTGCTGAGGAATATCCAAATGATATTGCATACTGCATTCCGTACCTGGTATCAAGCTACAACTGAAAATTAACTTGTCAGAGATGCACTCAAGCATGAAATCAGTTTATTTTTGGACATCAGGACTTCACCTTGAGAAGCATTACACCAGTTATCTCTGATCGTTGTTAGCTTGCTCTATCTAAATGGTAGGTTGCTGCACTGGTTTAATTGAACCTTGTTGTCAGATGGATTATTTGATTTGAAGTAAACTTTGAGTTTCTCTATTCAAAATTGAACCTTCTATTGCCTAACAAGTGGAATGAATTGTGAAGATTCCTTACTTAATGTGTGATCTAGTAGTTTTCTTACATGATAAAAGATGCCTATTTATGCAAGAAAGACCAACTTCCTAGGTATCATTCATTGCTTGAAGTGTCCTGTCTGAATCTTTTTATTCTGATTTGACACCTTATTGCAGTTATACCAGTGGATTTGAAGCAGACTGTGCAGGTTGATAAAGATCTTCAAATCCGTGCCTACTATGCAGGACATGTAAGCATCTTAAATTCAGTTCTAAAACATCTCCTTTTCTGAGTCTTATCTCACATTTGTAGCACATGCATATGTGATCCTTTGGTATATGAGGTGTACATTTATCATTGCAGATTGGCTGTGGATGTTTGTTAAACTTCATCTGCTTTGACAGAGCTAGCTAGCTCTTTAATCTGCAGAAGTTGTAGAGGAATTGGTTGAATAATGTTGGAGCACTGGTTGAGTTAAAATCCTTGAGTGCTTTAGCTAAATCATAGCCTATTAGACTGAACAATGATGTCTGAAATATGAATTGCATGACAGTAGGTTGTTATTTTGAGGTGGCATGGTTGCGTGGAAGAAACTTTGTGAATCATGAATATTGATGGGGTTGCTGTCTTGGTTCCTTGTGGTAATTATATTGTTGGTTGTATGGGGACTCATATGAGTGAATCAATGCAAATCTTTAGGAGCATTTAGTTTGAGAGGAGCAATCTAAGACCAAGTAGTAAATCTGGCCTTGACTTGGGGAGTCTTGGCATTGAATGGTTCAATCCCACCACATAAAATAGCAGAGCATCATGAACTATAACCAAACTTTACATATTAATGAAACCAAAGATAAATTTAAATACTAAATGAGAACTTATGGTGAACAAGGGAACTTGGTGTCTTCTTTACTTGATAAACTTTTTAGATGCATTTTACAAGTAAGGTATATTTACACCTTTCTGGAACCTTTGGCATCTAAGCTGCAAGCTCAGGACACTTGAAAAGTCCATGTAGCCTACATTGTGGGAATATTCTGACATGGTTCCATTGTTAAGTCTTCCTTTTTTAAGTTCTCCATCATTCTTTACTGAGAATGTAGTCAGTAATTTCTATCTAAGCGGTTCATTCTCTTTGGTGTTTCCAAGGTTATTGGGGCAGCAATGTTTTATGCAAAGGTGGGAGATGCTGCTATGGTGTACACAGGAGATTATAATATGACACCAGATAGACATCTTGGGGCAGCTCAGATTGATAGACTACAGTTGGACCTAGTTATAACAGAGTATGAAATTATACATATATGCACATATATAGTCATTCCTCTCATAGAATAGTTTATGTGTAGTGTGCAAAATATATATAGTAAGTTATATTTGGTTCTCCTGAATTTCTTACTATTTACTCACAAATTTTAATCTTTTATAATTTTTCTCCTTTTTTTTCCTTTTAATTGCCATTGTGAAAACTATCTAAAGATCAATTTAAAGTTCTCCATAAAATTTTGAGATATGGATCAGGCCTTATGAAACTTGTAATCAGTAATCAACTATTTTTGTACTGTTACAATCTTGTTTGTCTACTTCTGGTTTGTGAGATTTAAAGGATGGCCATTGATGGTCAGGACGGCTGGAAACTTCATTTCCTTTTAGTTCCTTCCTAAGCAGGACAACTGAGAGACATAAGTTCCCCCCCCCCCCCCCCCCCCTAATGTGTTAAGCTCATGCAAAAATCACAGAAAACCCTTGTCTCGCTGAGGCAAAGGAGAAATATTGAAGTCGTGTTTCTCTTTCTTGCTCTCCATCTTCCAATTTGTTTGTTGATGCTTGTTTTAGCTCTTGTTGTAATTATGGTGCTTTGAACCTGTGATTTCTTCTCTTATCGTCTATTTCTTTAGTCATTGTCTTTGCAATACAAAATTATCCAATTGCTTTGTATATTGATATCAAAATTTGGAACTAGTGTTTAAACTATATTTAAAATTCAAAATGTATTGTGATACCACCTTCTGTTATGTTATGTTCTCTCCCCCTTCAATTTGACTTGTGTTGCTTACTCATAATGTTATGAAACCTTTGCATTGCAAACATGTAATTGAATGCCAGGTCATAGAAAAGTTTAGTTTGAGCAAAATTTGATAAAAATTTCATGATAATACTCCTATAACAGGTCAACTTATGCAACAACCATACGCGATTCAAGATATGGCCGAGAGAGGGAGTTTCTTAAAGCTGTATGTATACACCACTCTCCGCCTTTCAAGCAATTTTTTGTCTACTTTTTGTTCCCATTTCTCCACTTAAGTGACCCTTGTTAAATTTTTTTCCTGCACCATGTTAACTAGTTTAAACAGGGAAATGGGAAACAAAATTTGTAGGAAGCTGCCATTCTTCCATGTGATTTTGATTATATGATGTGCAAATCATATTATTAGAAAGACTTAGCTAAGCATTCAGAATATTATAATTTTGGCTGGAAGAGTTATATTAATTTGATCATGTGTTTCTGTGCAAGCAGTTTCTTGTTGTAAGGAGTGATATCTTTTATTCATTATTTCTAACTTCTAACTCTTATCATGGTAATTTCTTCATCTCCCTCATAACACTTTCCACATTTTTTGGGTCATTTAGTTA